CCCATAGCGAACTCACATTTTATGGATGTAAAGGGAGAAAGAGAGGAAGCTGGATATCGACAAAGGAGAACCGAAAACTGAAACTTGAAAGGCATTGGAGGTAGAGTAGTACTCTAACAACATCAGCAGCATTTTTCATTTTTTGAAAGTCCACCGGTGTAAAATGAGCTTTTCATTGTGTTGAATAATTTTGGTTCCAAAAAATTTCGGTTGCCCTGCTTCACCGATAATAAATCCCACCGAAAATTTTGGTACCTAAAGTATTTTCTTGTACCCTATCACTCATTCACAGAATCCACGAAATCACAGACAGCCTACCCATCCGAGTTTCTTTCTTCTTACATTACAAAGTCATTGTTTGGAAAAAAGAATGGACTGGAATAACTGCAAAGGCTGTGGAGTTACAGAAACTTTTGCTGCCACTATAGGAAACAATCCTACATGTGCTCGATAATTGCAAAACACTGCTGTTGTCGAAACAAGAGAGGAGTTTGAAATCTGTTTGTTAAGATATTTTATGAAACTTGATCTTTAATGGAGAAAAAATCAAAGTGAAAAATTCAAATAATTCTTATAAACTTTAGCAGAAACCTTTATCATTAGAGATTCCGGAACAATATTTATTCTTCAAGAAATTTCCCGAAAAGTACTATAATGCTGCCAAAATGTTTCAATGGTGTTGACCATAAAAATCGTGCTCTATTTGATTATTCAAGAAGCATACATATTTCATCCAAAAGTTTTTAAGTGGTTTAATATTTTGATAAAAGTAATCCTTCAAATCATATCATAAAATAAAGAGAAAAGAAAAGGTTGAAGCACCACTGAGGTCTTTATTTGTATCTGAATTTCATCTCAACAAATGTCACCCTACCAAAAGAATCTGCGTTCTCAAAATACGTTCTCCAGGTAATATAACTAGCTATATGCCTACTGCTCGATGATAAAGGATGAAAAGCATTCAAATTTGAATAATAACAACGGTTATACCACCAAGCACCAGCATGTGCTAGTGCACAATTGCCATTATGTAGATTATCATGATCCTTGTCCTTTGTTGAAAACTTCATGTCGTTATGGTAAATCAGAGAATCACCAGCATCTCCAGAGTAGCCTCCCACCTTCAGACGATACCCATCCGATTCTCCTGAAATCTCAAATAAGCTGTACTTTGCATACTTTTTGTCTGCAAAATCCATGTGCTTTAAGTCAACCCGAAGAATGGCCCCCTTTCCTGGAGCGGCTAGCTTGTGCAGTTTTTCAAGCCCCAACCAGAAGTTTCCGTCCATATCCCCAAAGCCTTGCTTGTAGGCATCCCAATCTCGAAAGAAATCCACACTGGCATCAACACGACGCTGGAACACAATCCAACCTCCTCCGTCGGTTGCCATGTCGCATCTGACTGGGAAAATTCCAATTTCTGGTCGATAGATGTCATATCTCGTACTTTTTCTGAAGCCAAGTGCGTAAAGATCCTTGCAACTTCTTGCTTTTGTTAAACGAACAGGAAATTATTATGTTTGTTCGATTGAAGCCTTTTCTGGTCTATCGGAAGTGAGGAGAGTTTTAAAAGATCTTTCTTCAGTAATTACAATTACAGGTGAAGACTTTGCTTTGAAATATACCATGATATGCAAAGCAATAGCAGCATTCGAATTGTGATTAAAGGGTAAAGTACTTAGAATAAATCACATAACAACAATCAGTTGGGGTTTTCACGCAACTAATCTGCTTTGTTTCATAAAGTCTGCCTTGTGACGCACTTTTGTGGTCGTCTTATGGCAGGGTGTGGTCATCCAATTCTCTTCAGAGTGTACCATGATTTGGCACTTTCAGATACTGCAGACCAGACCAGCATGACTGGCAATAATTGAAATCAAAGATAAGCTGTAATTAAGACGCCACCCACTTCAAACAAATCCGAGTTTTATACTCACATAAGCGATAGTCGAATCCTGGCGTAGCTTAACCTCAACAAAACGATCGGTATACACGTTTCCCCTAACAAAATATTCTAACTTCTTTATGAATAACCCAATATAAGAAAAATCATGTGTTCCACCGAAAATGGCTAAGAAATTGGCCCTAATTCTTATTCTAATTTCAATAAAATAAATACCTGTTGTTACGTGTTGGCATTGGAATCCTGGACAGCTGCAGGAATCTGTACACCTATGTCCGATAGGGCAAGGATTCCTGCCTCGACACAATTCACCCACCTTGTGGAGAAAAGCTTTATCACATACTGGCCTGTAAAAGTCAGCTTCAATAAATGCATGCAATAATTGGTCAGCTTGCGAAAAGAGATGCTTTATTGGTAAAAATTTGCAAAGCGGAAAAGCTAGTATCAAGAAATTGGACACGGCAAAAGCAACGAGAAAGCTCATGGGGAAACGATAATGAACAAAAATATCAATGAAAGGTACTTCACATTATTAGTTTTACAAGCACCCTAGGTGAATGAGCAAAGCATAATTTTCTCTTGCTTGACAAGCTGCTAAAAGTGGTGTACATGTTTCTATAGTAGCTTGAATACGAGAGTAAACTGTAGTAACTTACGTTTCTGTTTCTATAATCTGTTGTTTTGTAGGTCCATTCAGATGAAGGAGATAACCTTACGTTGTCATCCGAGTTTTCTGTTGATTTTTCATTGATCTGGCAATTAGCAGACCCAGATGCTGGTGTCTTCCAGTTAATTGAGCTGCAGCTTTGATGATACAAGCAATGCTGTTCGCATAATTCGACAGTCGATACTTCCAATGATGCTAACACATGTCCATCAAGCATAAAGCCTGATTTTTCAACGCTGAAGTTTCCATACGTCTTGCAAGGCAGCCTCAATATGTACCCCAGGCTCACATGCAACCAAAGGAGCAGCAGAAATCTGATTGTTTTGAAAAAGGTCTTTAAAATTAACACTTCAGCTGATTGTGTGTCACGGATTAGAAAAATTCTCTTGATAACCATAAAGAAACTTGTTTGCATTGAAATCATTCTAAAATCTGTTCGTTTCAAGGTATTAAAACTCTCTCAGCATGAGGGGCAAATATAAAATCTCTACTGTATATTAGCTTAGACAGGAGGTGGTTGACAAGTTTTTAGGGTTCCTTAGAGATCTTATAAAGCTCCTTAAAGGCTGACCAAATAAATCAAACAGATATCAAAATATCTGTGATGGCCAATGCAGTTACTGCCTTTTATTTACGTAATTTCAATACACTGGAATTACGTGAGTAAAACAATTGTTATGTTTAAAGGCTGGCCAAACGAAAGTAACATTGCTTATCAAGATGCTTTACGGAATGTTTGATGGTTATCAAATCTTGCAAAATATCATAAAACATCATTAAGCAATCAAAATCAAGGTGGCCAAACAAATAACACGTTTTATCCAACAATTGTGAATTATGATTTATTCAAATGTTTTACCCGTTTGGCCAGGAGTTTTGATGAACAAGGTATCAAGTCAACATGGTATACACCTTTAAGTACACGCTAGATGACGTAACTGTAAGGGGTATTCGCAAGAAAGGAGCATTCTACAAATGCAATAGCTCTTTTGTTGTTCTTAACCGGTTAAACATAAAGTAACTTACATCAAACGCAAAGCACAACCCATGTTTTGTTCAGCTTCGTCACATTCTCTTCCAAGGCGAGTCTGCCCACAGATTCTGAGAATCACTGATGAATACAATCCAATTCCATTGCTGGTGCGACGAAGAAAATTGTGTATGGATCCAATGAAGTAGCTGGAGCAAATCAATCGCTGTTTCGAAATCCTTGTGCTATTAATTAATGATTTCTCATTATATATTCATCTAATTTGCAGCAATTTACATATTCATATATATTCATCAGAAGGTTCAATTTACATATTCATATTTCTATACAGGCTTTGATGTGTATAGCAGGATTTTTTAATTCAAGACCATTAAAGACCAATTGACAAGCTAAGGGATGGGGATGGTGGTACAATTTATTTCAATTTCCATGCACATTTCAGAAAGCTTTCCAAAAATTTGATGCCTCACAGAATCTTTAGTCCTCCAACAACCCAGCCACTGCGTCTTGATTCGACAGAGTTTTCTTCGGAAATCTTTACTACTGGGAAACTTACCAAAATATTTTTACAACCTTTCTTTCAAATCAAAGGAGTATCTTAGCATGAAAAATTAAAGCTATGAGTTACAAATGCTGTTAAAAAGACAAAAGTCAAATCACAAACGTACCCTTTAGAAATGTATGCACGTATGGTAAAAATAAGTTATATAGATGTTCTTATATTCAATATTAGAATAGGGTTTCCCAATATTTAATTAGTCATTTGAATTCGCGGTCCCGAAGACCTGAGGAAATTCTTAACGAAATTTTATGGTTGGACATGTAGCCTGTTGGGAAGAATTTAGTTGGACGTTCAGACTGGTTAAAGGTTTCTATATCGAAAATATTTTGCTCGATCATAGAATCTAGAGGTATGAGCAAGGTATGGTCTAGTACCCAATGTGATCTTATGCAGTTTGTAGTTAGCTGTAGGATACCATTGAAGATATGCCGGTGCTCTGTTGGTTTACCCATTGAAAGCTTTCGATTGTATTGATCATGAATTATTGATTGCAAAGTAACATGCCTCTAGATCCAACAGCGATGTCCTACTTTAAATTTATAGCTTTTTGTCTCCTAGGAAATAAACGGGTTAAAGTTGAATGGGCCTTTAGTATATGCACTGAATCAAAAATTGAAGTGCCACAAGGATGAGTTTTTGGGTCTTTTCTGTTTAACATAATTATAAATGACCTGCACTTCCAGACGAATTTGTTATTGAGATTAGCAATTACACAGACGATACGACATTGTATTTGTGTTATATTATGAATGAAAACATCCTATAAATTCTTGTCAACTTATGAATATTTAGAAAACAATGCTGTTTTTTAGAATACAACATGAAGATAAATTGTCTAGTGTCATTTATTGACATTTGGAAGTTATAAAGAGCTTGTTACAACGGATCAAGGAAATGTCAAAATAGAACAAGCAAGAGAAGTAAATATTGTTAGGAGTAGTTATAGTCGAAGAATTCTGTTTCAAAACACACGTACGATCACTCTGCAAAATTTCGAATTAAAAACTAATAGCATTATCTCGAATAGCAGAATACAAGAGTCTAGGTCGGATAGTGGGACTGATGACGCAACCTGTCTTGAAATTTCAGTTGAGCTACAACCCACTGGATGGATCATGATAGATATACAAAAAAATATGAAAATAAATAAGATCCATGCAAGAATCGCGCAAAATAGACAAGATTTTGAGTCAAACTATAAAGAAATTTGAGCAAAAAATTACTCAACATTCATTAGACGAACCTACTTTTAGACACAAAACAATCCGATCCCTGCTTTTATGAAAAAAGTTTTTGAGGTAAATTGACTCCAACACACTCTAAGGGCAATTAATACCTTGAAATTACCAAAACTAAAAGCTTTTTACATGCAAAGACACTGCTAGGTTTTTTGTGAGAGAGCATGGGCTTGTTACCAAAAACGCCATTAGCAACCTTTAAAACATTGATTATCTTTAAAAGGGGAGCAATTAATTTGGGGAAAAGGGAAAGAGTAAATAGGGAAAAAGATATTTGTGTTTTTCAAAGACCTTTTTCAAAGACATTTTCCCAATTAGCCTGCACAAGGAAAAAGAAAAATCACTAACAAATACAATCGAATGACACAATTCAGGGGCGGATCCAGAGAAAATTTGAATCAGGGGCAGTTGGTAGTGGGGGCGCTGAAACATTTTCAAAGATTTGTTACGAGAGTACGCTGCATGCAACAATTTCAGATACCTTATCAGAATAAACAACATAACTTTGAGGTTATCCTTGAAGCAAATTAACCAACTGCCCGTAGTTGCCCCCCCCTTAAATTCGCCACTGAAACAATTGAATGTAATTTGAAATCAATTGAACCATAATCCACGTTCTTCGTAGATACGGGACACAAGGATTGGTTTGGTGTTCCGGAAGTCCCGAATTCTGGTTTCTGGCAACCTGTCGAACAGGCTTGGAAGAAACGAGGGAGCGTTCTCAGTTGCACACTTGTATACATACTTGTAAAGTGCATCTTTCCCAATGAATGGCATCTTTAACTAAATCGCTTAGCAGCGCACAAAGACAGAACGAGAAATACAATCAAGGGGAAATGCATTAAACAAAAACTTACTCATCAACATAGTAGCTGTAAGTGCCGCATGATCAAATTAGTTGCTTCTGCCTAAACCAATACATATGTTAGCCATAAATTTAAGCCAGGATAAATGGACAAAGGACATTTAGAGCACATTTACCCTTTTTATCAGTTTCCATCAAAATCCAGATCTTCTTACAATTTCTTTAATTTTTCCTTTATTATATATTTCCTTCTTATTTCCTTGCAATTTTCCTCTTGGTCAGTTAACAACAATGCTTTAATCAGCAACAATTAAGATATTTTTTTTTCGTAGCCTAATGTAACTAAAGAATGATGATGATGTTCATGATGATGGCCCGGTGGTCAGTGGATCGGTCGATGATTTGTTCGGTTAGTTAGACAGTAACTCCGTGTTCTTTGTACGTAGAAAAAGATGATAAAAGGATGCGCAACAAACGAACTAGGTTCTGAAGTTGACACGAAATAATGGAAACATATCATACTGAAGTACTTTCGTCCGACACTCTTCAGAGTATAAACGTCGGAAAATGTCTGAAAGTAAGCTGAATTTTTCTTTCGATGTGTTTATCGAGAGTAACATGAGAGAAAGAAAGACGCCTTTGATCGGTTGATTGATTGGCACCATAGAGATTTGTGCTTTGTATCGCAGCGATCAAAATACATCCCCCCTCTCCAATCCATGAGGACAATTTTAAAGAGCTAATGGCAAGTGCCATCAGAGGTGTTGAGTTAGGTTTCAATTACCAAACATACGAAACAGCTACATAAATGGTGTTGCTATAGGTAGCACCTTGGGACGTCGCCTTTCACGAAAACAGATTTTTTGATCAAATCTAAGAGCTAGCTTTTTTCGGTATGTCGACGATATTTTTATACTTAGGGAACTCGGTACCTTTAGTGTGTATATAAACCATAATTAAAAACACACATACAAGATCAAAATTTTTAGAATTTTGAAATGAACATCTTGTGCTAATTAGAATTTCAAAATAGTAAATGTTGATAGTGTAAGTTTTACTGTCTCAGTTCACGGTAACAATTTTACAAAAGCATCACTTTCATCTCAGAGAATGTCACTTTGCCATATTCGTTTTTAATCGTTTTCCAGGACATGTATTCTGCGGGTTCCCCACCACCATCATTGGAGGGATGAAGGCCATTTAGATTTGAGATATGGCATGCAGCGTACCACCAAGCCCCTTTAAATCTTGATGCACAATATGACTTGTCTTTCGTTGCGAACATCTTGTCGTTATGGTCAATCAGAGAGTCACCAGCATCTCCAGAGTAGCTTCCCACCTTCAGACGATACCCATCCGATTCTCCTGAAATCTCGAATAAGCTGTAGTTTGCATACTTCTTCTCTGCAAACTCCATGTGCTTTAAGTCAACACGAAGAATCGCCCCTTTTCCTGGAGCGGCTAGCTTGTGCAGTTTTTCAAGACCCAACCAGAAGTTCCCGTCCATATCCCCAAAGCCTTGCTTGTAGGCATCCCAATCTCGAAAGAAATCCACACTGTTATCAACACGACGCTGGAACACAATCCAACCTCCTCCGTCGCTTTCCATGTCGCATCTGACTGGGAAAATTCCAATTTCTGGTCGATAGATGTCATATCTCGTACTTTTTCTAAAGCCAAGGGCGTATAAATCTCGGCAACTTCTTGATTCTGTTAAACGAACAGGAAATTATCATGTTTGTTCGATTGAAACCTTTTCTTATTTATCGGAAGTGAGGAGAGTTTTAAAATATCTTTCTTCAGCAATTACAATTACAGTTGAAGACCTTGCTTTGAAACATACCATGATATGCAAAGCAATAGCAGCATTCGAATTGTGATTAAAGGGTAAAGTACTTAGAATAAATCACATAACAACAATCAATTGGTGTTTTCACGCAACAAATCTGCTTTGTTTTATAAAGTCTGCCTTGTGACGCACTTTTGTGGTCGTCTTATGGCAGGGTGAGGTCGTCCTACTCTCTACAGTGTGTACCATGCCTTTGCACTTTCAGATACTGCAGACCAGACCAGCATGACTGGCCATAATTAAAATCAAGAACTAGCTGTAATTAAGACCCCACCCACTTCAAACAAATCCGAGTTTTATACTCAAATAAGCGATACTCGAATCCTGGCGTAGCATAACCTCAACAAAATGATCAGTATACACATTTCACCTAACAAAATATTCTAACTTCTTTATCAATAACCCAATATAAGAAAAATCAAATGTTCCACCGAAAATGGCTAAGAAATTGGCCACAATGGATTGGAAACACATTATTATAATTTCAAAAGAATAGATACCTGTTGTTACGTTTTGGCATTGGAATCCTGGACAGCTACAGGAATCTGTACACCTGTGTCCGATAGGGCAAGGATTCCTGCCTCGACACAATTCACCCACCTTGTGGAGAAAAGCTCTATCAAATACTGGCCTGTAAAAGTCAGCTTCAATAAATGCATGCAATAATTGGTCAGCTTGCGAAACGAGGTGCTTTATTGGTAAAAATTGGCAAAGCGGAAAAGCTAGTATCAAGAAATTGGACACGGCAAAAGCAACGAGAAAGCTCATGGTGAAACGATAATGAACAAAAATATCAATGAAAGGTACTTCACATTATTAGTTTTACAAGCACCCTAGGTGAATGAGCAAAGCATAATTTACTTTTGCTTGACAAGCTGCTAAAAGGGGTGTACATGTCGCCATGTTCGCTTGAATACGAGGATAAATCGTAGAAACTTACGTTAGTGTTTCTATAATCTGTTGTTTTGTAGGTCCATTCAGATGAAGGAGATAACTTTACGTTTTCATACAAGTTTTCTGTCGATTTCTCATTGATCTGGCAATTAGCAGACCCAGATGCTGGTGTCTTCCAGTTAATTGAGCTGCAGCTTTGATGATACAAGCAATGCTGTTCGCATAATTCGACAGTCGATACTTCCAATGATACTAACACATGTCCATCAAGCCTAAAACCTGATTTTTCAACGCTGAAGTTTCCATACGTCTTGCAAGGCAGCCTCAATATGTACCCCAGGCTCACATGCAGCCAAAGGAGCAGCAGAAATCTGATTGTTTTAAAAAAGGTCTTTAAAATTAACACTTCAGCTGATTGTGTTTCATGGATTAGAAAAATTATCTTTATAATCATAAAGAAACTTATTTGTAGTGAAATCATTCTAAAATCTGTTCGTTTCAAGGTAATAAAACTCTCTCAGTATGAGGTGCAAACATAAAAACTCTAATGCAAATTGGTTATTAGATATTAGATTAGACGGTAGGGGGGGGGGGTTGACAAGTTTTTAGGGTTCCTTAAAGATCTTATAAAGCTCTTTAAAGCCTGACCAAATAAATCAAACAAATGTCAAAATATCTGTGATGGTCAATGCAATTACTGGATATCAAATCTCGCAAAATATAATAAAACATCATTAAGCAATCAAAATCAAGGTGGCCGAACAAATATCACGTTTTATCCAACAATTGTGAATTATGATTTATCCAAATGTTTTACCCGTTTGGCCAGGAGTTTTGATGAACTAGGTATCAAGTCAACATGGTATACACCTTTAAGTACACGCTAGATGACGTAATGTAAGAGGCATTCGCAAAAAAGGAGCATTCTACAAATGCAATAGCTCTTTTGTTGTTCTTAACCGGTTTGAAAAGTTAAACATAAAGTAACTTACATCAAACGCAAAGCACAACCCATGTTTTGTTCACCTTCGTCACATTCTCTTCCAAGGCGAGTCTGCCCACAGATTCTCACATGATGCTGATAATCACTGATGAATACAATCCAATTCCATTGCTGGTGCGACGAAGAAGATTGTGTATGGATCCAATGGAGTAGCTGGAACAACTCAATCCCTCTTTTGAAATCAGTGTGCTATCAATTAATGACATTTCATCAAATATTCATCTAATTTGCAGCAATTATTACTTATTGAAAGAAGGTTCATTTCACATATTCATATTTCTATATATGTTTTGATGTGTAAAGCAGGATTTTTTAATTCAAGACTATTAAAGACCAATTAACAAGCTAAGGGATGGGGATGGTGGTACAATTTATTTCAATTTCCATGCACATTTCAGAAAGTTTTCCAAAAATTTGATGCCTCACAGAATCTATAGTCCTTCAACCACCCAGCCACTGCGTCTCGATTCGACAATGGTAGTAAAAGATGAAAAATTAAATAAACGGAAAAAAGAAAATTATAACGAGAATGTAGAGAGTAATGGTGATGATTGTAAAATAGTAATGTATGGGTAGTAGAAAAAGTGACGATATGGATGATTATAGTGTGTTGCTGTAAGATTAACGGTCAGTGGTTCGGTTCATGCCGTTCGGTGTGAGAGTGTTTGCCAAGCCAATGAGGTATTGCTCTTTGGCTCGAACACTCTCTATTTGGCTTTTTGTTGCAATAATAGGGTTATTGTAAGGTCATTGATGGTATGTTCTGGGCTGCAAAAGTGTTCTGCAACACCGGACTTGTCTACTTTTTTGTTGATAATGTCTCGTCTATGTTCGTTAAATCTGTCTTTCAGTCGTCTGCTTGTTTGTCCGATGTATTGGCAGTTCTTGTTTTCGTTAGTATGTTAAACATCTTTTGCATTGTAATGCGTAAATAACGTTATTAGAGTTGCAATCCAGTCTTTGTTTTATGTAGTAGTTTTTGTCAGTGTTAGTAAAATTAAATGTAGCAGTACCGTCTATGATGTGTTGGCATGTTATGCAGTTACGTCGCAAGTGGCATTGGTCACAAATGCTGTTAAGGTAAGTTACAAATGCTGCTAAAAAGGCAAAAGTCAAATCATAAACGTACCCTTTAGAAATGTATGCATGTATAGTAAAAATAAGTTATATAGATGTTTTTATATTCAATATTAGAGTAAAGTTTCACCTTCCCAATATTAATTAGTCATTTGAATTCACGGTCCCGAAGACCTGAGGAAATTCTTAACGAAATTGTTTGGTTGGACATGTAGCCTGTTGGGAAGAATTTAGTTGGACGTTCAGACTGGTTAAAGGCCTGTATTTCGAAAATATTTTGCTCGATCATTCAATCTAGAGGTATGAGCAAAGTATGGTCTAGTACCCAATGTGATCTTATGCGGTTTGTAGTTAGCTGTAGGATACCATTGAAGATATGCCGGTGCTCTGTTGGTTTATCCATTGAAAGCTTTCGATTGTATTGATCATGAATTATTGATTGCAAAGTAACATGCCTCTAGATCCAACAGCGATGTCCTACTTTAAATTTATAGCTACTGTTCTCCTTGGAAATAAACGGGTGAAAGTGCCACAAGGATGAATTTTTGGGTCTCTTCTGTTTAGCATATTCATAAACGTCTGCACCACAGATTGCAATTTCAACCAATTCTAGAATTTTTTGGAACAGTGAAGCTGATATTTTCAAGAAGATGGCAAAAGCGATTAAAAGTTCAAAAGCAAAAGCCGAATTCTCATCAAAATCAAAAGAATATTTTCAGGCTGAAGTATAACAAGAGGCTGTTAGTTTGATTCATTCAGAGAAGAACTTAACTTTTAATTCTAATTTACTTTTAGCCAATTTAACCTATCAAAATTCTTACTTCTCAGATCTTAATCTATTTTTAGTCTAAGCTAAATTATTTAATTCTTACTTTTTAGATTCTAAATCCCCTTTAGCCAGATTTAAGTTATTTTAATCTTTACTTTTTGGATTATTGGAACATTGTTTCTTGTACCTTCTTAGAAATATTATATTAGCAACTTTTACATTCTATAGTATTTAGCGACCAGGTAAAGAGCCACTCTGTGGAGACATTTGTCATGATTCATTGTTACTATTATCATTATTATTGTTATTTGCTGATTTTCACAGTCCTGTTCTTCTAAGTTGATTGGGTTTTGTTTGCAGTATTGAGATCAAGTCAAAGCCTGCGACATCAGGCATCTCTTCAAGCTCTCTTCGCAACTCATCATATTTCTCCATCATCTCTGTCTCTTTTGCTGTTACCCTTTCGTATCCAGGGACTGCTAAATCTATTATGTTACATTTCTTTTTAACCTTGTTGACAACAACTAAATCAGGTCTTTTTGCTTGAATTGTGTTGTCCGTCTGGATATTGAATTCCTATAAAACCTTGATCTTTTTCGTCTCTTCTCTATAGTACTGCTTTGCTGGTGCGCATACCACTTATTACTACATTCAATTTCATTCTGTCTACATAGGTTTGAGTGAAGTGATTTGGCAACACAAAATGCCTATGTTTGAATTTTTTTGCACTAGCTTTAGGCATAAGCTGGTTTTATGACAAACTGCTTTTTCAGTTTGTTTACACAATGATTTCCACTATTATTATGAAGCAATCTCTCATGATATCTCAGTTCAGCTACAAACCAGTGATTTTGATCTTTCATGATAAATATTCAAATGAAAGTAAAATAAATAAGATCCATGAAAGAACATTGCGAATTAGGCTAGAATTTTGAGCCGGACTATAAAGAATTGTGAGCAAAATAACTCCTTTACCATTCATCAGAAAAACCTACCGTTGAACCAAAATCAATCTGAGCCCTGCTTTTATAACAAAAGTTTTCGAGGTGAATTCTCACTAATACACTCTTAGGTCAATGAGTACCTTTAAATCACCCAAGTTAAAAGCTATCATACACGAAAAGACATTGCTAGGTATATGTGTAAGAAAAAATTGGGCTCATTACCAAAAAATTTAAAAACCGCTAAAACATTGAAAGCTTTTAAAAGGGGAACAACGACTTTTGGAAAAGGGAGAAGAGTAAATTGGGGAAAAAGATATTTACAAAGCCTTTATAAATTGTTTTCCAAATAAGCCTTCACAAAGAAAAGGGAAAAGCCTTAAAAGTTGAAATCGAATTACACAATTAGTTTTAGTAACAAAGTAAAAGTAATCCAAAATCATTTGAACGACCTGTAGGGATAAAATAGGTTCCTTCATGTTCCTGAGTTTTCAGGACGGGATTTAAATTGTTTGAAGTTTTTTGTTAATTTTGATTTTAGGGCAAAGGCATTCCATTATTTCGCCTCTCCTAAAAGAATAGCATTTTTCTCCACACGTTTCTCGTAGATACGGAACACAAAAATCGGTTTGGTATTCCAGAATCGAGAATTCTTGTTTCTGGCAACCTGTCGATGGCAAGGAATGGCGGAAACATAGCAGTATTAAGTACTATTCGTCCGAAACCCTTCAGATCCTAAACGTCAGATAATGACCGAAAGTAAGCTGAAAATTTCTATCCTGGTGTGGATCGAAATTAATGCGAGAGGAAGAAAAACACCTTCGGTTGATAGGAATCCCACCTAATTCCTGAGGATATTTTTAGAGAACTAATGACAAGCGCAAAAAGGTGTTGATTTCAGTTTGAATAACTAAGAGTACCGACAGCTAGATGGTGTTACAATGGGTAGACCTTTAGGTGCGGCACTAGCCAACATCTGCATCGGCTTTCACGAAAACAGATTATTTGACCAAATCCAAAAACCAGTGGTCTATTTTCGGTATATCGAGGAAACTAGTGTCATAGTTAGCTCAAAGCATGAATGTCACTGTTTCCACTGAAATTAATTTGTTACACCAAATGATATGTTTTATCAATTGGTGCATCCAAAGAACAGTGTACACACAAAGCTCTTTACAAGAAAACAGGTGTTAACCTTAAATAACGATTATGATAAAGCTAACACAACTGGCAGAAATGTATCCTTAATCCAACGGTCATAACACCAAAAAGGAAGAATTTTTAAAAGAACATATTGTGAATAGCTAATTAGAATGTCAAAATAGTAAATGTTGATAGTGTAAGTTTTACTGTCTCAGTTCACGGTAACCCTTTTACGAAAACATCACTTTCATCTCAGAGAATGTCACTTTACCATATTCGTTTTTAATCGCTTTCCAAGACATGTATTTTGCGAGTCCCCCATCACTACCAGAGGAAGGATGAAGGGCGTTCAGATTTGAGTCATGGCATGCAGCGTACCACCAAGCCCCTTTAAATGATTCTGCACAGTTGTATCTATATGTATCTTGATCCTTGTCCTTTGTCGAAAATTTCATATTGTTTTGTCTTGCCAGTGAATCTCCAGCATCTCCAGAGTAACCGCCAACCTTTAGACGATACCCATCCACTTCTCCTGAAATCTCAAACAAGCTGTACTTAGCATATTTCTTGTCTTCGAATTCCATGTGTTTTAAATCAATACGAAGAATCGCCCCCTTTCCTAGAGCCGCTAGCTTGTGCAGTTTTTCAAGCCCCAACCAGAAATTTCCGTCCATATCCCCAAAGCCTTGCTTGTAGGCATCCCAGTCTCGAAAAAAATCCACACTGTTATCAACACGACGCTGGAACACAATCCAACCTCCTCCGTCGGTTGCCATGTCGCATCTGACTGGGAAAATTCCAATTTCTGGTCGATAGATGTCATATCTCGTACTTTTTCTGAAGCCAAGGTCGTAAAGATCCTTGCAACTTCTTGCTTCTGTTAAACGAACAGGAAATTATCATGTTTGTTCGATTTAAACCTTTTCTTGTTTATCGGAAGTGAGGAGAGTTTTAAAAGATCTTTCTTCAGCAATTACAATTACAGTTGAAGACCTTGCTTTGAAACATACCATGATATGCAAAGCAATAGCAGCATTCGAATTGTGATTAAAGGGTAAAGTACTTAGAATAAATCACATAACAACAATCAATTGGTGTTTTCACGCAACAAATCTGCTTTGTTTTATAAAGTCTGCCTTGTGACGCACTTTTGTGGTCGTCTTATGGCAGGATGAGGTCGTCCTAGTCTCTACAGTGTGTACCATGCCTTTGCACTTTCAGATACTGCAGACCAGGCTAGCATGACTGGCAATAATTATAATCAAAGATAAGCTGTAATTAAGACCCCACCCACTTCAACAAATCCGAGTTTCATACTCACATAAGCGATACTCGAATCCTGGCGTAGCATAACCTCAACGAAACGATCGGTATGCACCTATCGCTTAACCAAATAATCTAACTTCTTTATCAATAACCCAATATAAGAAAAATCAAATGTTCCACCGAAAATGGCTAAGAAATTGGCCCTAATAGATTGGAAACAAATTATTCTAACTTCAATAAAATAAATACCTGTTGTTACGTTTTGGCATTGGAATCCTGGACAGCTGCAGGAATCTGTACACCTGTGTCCGATAGGGCAAGGATTCCTGCCTCGACACAATTCACCCACCTTGTGGAGAAAAGCTTTATCAAATACTGGCCTGTACAAGTCAGCCTCAATAAATGCATGTAATATCTGGCCAGCTTGCGAAACGAGGTGCTTTATTGGTAAAAATTGGCAAAGCGAAAAAGCTAGTATCAAGAAATTAGACACGGCACAAGCAACGAGAAAGCTCATGGTGAAACGATAATGAACAAAAATATCAATGGAAGGTACTTCACATTATTAGTTTTACAAGCACCCTAGGTGAATGAGCAAAGCATAATTTACTTTTGCTTGACAAGCTGCTAAAAGGGGTGTACATGTCGCCATGTTAGCTTGAATACGAGGATAAATTGTAGAAACTTACGTTGGTGTTTCTATAATCTGTTGTTTTGTAGGTCCATTCAGATGAAGGAGATAACTTTACGTTTTCATACAAGTTTTCTGTCGATTTCTCATTGATCTGGCAATTAGCAGACCCAGATGCTGGTGTCTTCCAGTTAATTGAGCTGCAGCTTTGATGATACAAGCAATGCTGTTCGCATAATTCGACAGTCGATACTTCCAATGATACTAACACATGTCCATCAAGCCTAAAACCTGATTTTTCAACGCTGAAGTTTCCATACGTCTTGCAAGGCAGCCTCAATATGTACCCCAGGCTCACATGCAGCCAAAGGAGCAGCAGAAATCTGATTGTTTTAAAAAAGGTCTTTAAAATTAACACTTCAGCTGATTGTGTTTCATGGATTAGAAAAATTATCTTTATAATCATAAAGAAACTTATTTGTAGTGAAATCATTCTAAAATCTGTTCGTTTCAAGGTTATAAAACTCTCTCAGTATGAGGTGCAAACATAAAAACTCTAATGCAAATTGGTTATTAGATATTAGATTAGACGGTAGGGGGGGGGGGGTTGACAAGTTTTTAGGGTTCCTTAAAGATCTTATAAAGCTCTTTAAAGCCTGACCAAATAAATCAAACAAATGTCAAAATATCTGTGATGGTCAATGCAATTACTGGATATCAAATCTCGCAAAATATAATAAAACATCATTAAGCAATCAAAATCAAGGTGGCCGAACAAATATCACGTTTTATCCAACAATTGTGAATTATGATTTATCCAAATGTTTTACCCGTTTGGCCAGGAGTTTTGATGAACTAGGTATCAAGTCAACATGGTATACACCTTTAAGTACACGCTAGATGACGTAATGTAAGAGGCATTCGCAAAAAAGGAGCATTCTACAAATGCAATAGCTCTTTTGTTGTTCTTAACCGGTTTGAAAAGTTAAACATAAAGTAACTTACATCAAACGCAAAGCACAACCCATGTTTTGTTCACCTTCGTCACATTCTCTTCCAAGGCGAGTCTGCCCACAGATTCTCACATGATGCTGATAATCACTGATGAATACAATCCAATTCCATTGCTGGTGCGACGAAGAAGATTGTGTATGGATCCAATGGAGTAGCTGGAACAACTCAATCCCTCTTTTGAAATCAGTGTGCTATCAATTAATGACATTTCATTAAATATTCATCTAATTTGCAGCAATTATTACTTGTTGAAAGAAGGTTCATTTCACATATTCATATTTCTATATATGTTTTGATGTGTAAAGCAGGATTTTTTAATTCAAGACTATTAAAGACCAATTAACAAGCTAAGGGATGGGGATGGTGGTACAGTTTATTTCAATTTCCATGCACATTTCAGAAAGTTTTCCAAAAATTTGATGCCTCACAGAATCTATAGTCCTTCAACAACCCAGCCACTGCGTCTCGATTCGACAATGGTAGTGAAAGATGAAAAATTAAATAAACGGAAAAAAGAAAATTATAACGAGAATGTAGAGAGTTGTGATGATGATTGTAAAATATGTAATGTATGGGTAGTAGAAAAAGTGACGAAGTGAATGATGATAGTGTGTTGCTCTAAGATTAACGGTCAGTGGTTCGGTTCATGCCGTTCGGTGTGAGAGTGTTTGCCAAGCCAATGAGGTATTGCTCTTTGGCTCGTCGAACACTCTCTATTTGGCTTTAAGTTGCAGTAATGGGGTTAATGTTAGGTCATTGATAGTATGTTCTGGGCTGCAAAAGAGTTCTGCAACACCGGACTTGTCTACTTTTTTGTCGATAATGTCTCGTCTGTGTTCGTTAAATCTGTCTTTCAGTCGTCTGCTTGTTTGTCCGATGTATTGGCAGTTCTTGTTTTTGTAAGTATGTTAAACATCTTTTGCATTGTAGTGCGTAAATAACGTAATTAGAGTTGCAGTCCAGTCTTTGTTTTATATAGTAGTTTTTGTCAGTGTTAGTAAAATTAAATGTAGTAGTACCGTCTATGATGTGTTGGCATGTTATGCAGTTACGTCACAAGTGGCATTGGTCACAAATGCTGTTAAGGTAAGTTACAGATGCTGCTAAAAAGGCAAAAGTCAAATCATAAACGTACCCTTTAGAAATGTATGCATGTATAGTAAAAATAGGTTATATAGATATTTTTTTATTCAATGTTAGAATAGGGTTTCACCTTCCAAATATTTAATTAGTCCTCTGATTTCGTGGTCCCGAAGACCTGAGGAAATTCTTAACGAAATTGTTTGGTTGGACATGTAGCCTGTTGGGAAGAATTTAGTTGGACGTTCAGACTGGTTAAAGGCCTGTATTTCGAAAATATTTTGCTCGATCATTCAATCTAGAGGTATGACCAAAGTATGGTCTAGTACCCAATGTGATCTTATGCGGTTTGTAGTTAGCTGTAGGATACCATTGAAGATATGCCGGTGCTCTGTTGGTTTACCCATTGAAAGCTTTCGATTGTATTGGTCATGAATTATTGATTGCAAAGTAACATGCCTCTAGATCCAACAGCGATGTCCTACTTTAAATTTATAGTTATTTGTCTCCTAGGAAATAACGGGTTCAAGTTAAATGGGCCTTTAGTGCACACACTGAATCAAAAATTGAAGTGCCACAAGGATGAGTTTTTGGGTCTCTTCTGTTTAGCATATTCATAAACGTCTGCACCACAGATTGCAATTTCAACCAATTCTAGCAGTATCTGGCGACAAGGTGAAGAGCCACCCTGTGGAGACATTTGTCATGATTCATTGTTATTATTATCATTATTATTGTTATTTGCTGATTTTCACAGTCCTGTTCTTCTAAGTTGATTGGGTTTTGTTTGCAGTATCGAGATCAAGTCAAACCCTGCGACCTCAGGCATCTCTTCAAGCTCTCTTCGCAACTCATCATATTTCTCCATCATCTCTGTCTCTTTTGCTGTTACCCTTTCGTATCCATGGACTGCTAAATCTATTATGTGACATTTCTTTCTAACCTTGTTGACAACAACGTCTTCTTGCTTGAATTTTGTTGTCCGTCTGGATATTGAATTCCTATAAAACCTTGATCTTTTCCGTCTTTTCTCTATAGTACTGCTTTGCTGGTGCGCATACCACTTATTACTACATTCAATTTCATTCTGTCTACATAGGTTTCAGTGAAGTGATTTGGCAACACAATATGCCCCCGTTTGTATTTTTTTGCACTAGCTTTAGGCATTAGCTGGCTTTATGACAAAATGTTTTTCAGTTTGTTTACACAATGATTTCTACTATTATTATGAAGCAATCTCTCGTGATATCTCAGTTCAGCTACAAACCAGTGATTTTGATCTTTCATGATAAATATTCAAATGAAAGTAAAATAAATAAGATCCATGAAAGAACGTTGCAATTTAGGCTTGAATTTTGTCTCGGACTATAAAGAATTGTGAGCAAAATAACTCCTTTACCATTCATCAGAAGAATCCAAATAAGCCTTCACAAAGAAAAGGGAAAAGCCTTAAAACTTAAAATCGAATTACAAAATTAGTTTTAGTAACAAAGTAAAAGTAATCCAAAATCATTTTAACGACCTGTGGAGATAAAATAGGTTCCTTCAGGTTCTTGAGTTTTCAGGACGGGATTTAAATTGTAAGAAGGTTTTTGTTAATTTTGATTTTAGGGCAAAGGCATTCCATTACTTCCCCTCTCCTAAAAGAATAGCATTTTTCTCCACACGTTTCTCATGGATACGGAACACAAAAATCGGTTTGGTATTCCAGAATTGAAAAATTCTGGTTTCTGGCAACCTGTCGATGGCAAGGAATAGCGGAAACATAGCAGTATTAAGAATCATTCGTCCGAAACTCTTCAGATCATGAACGTCAGATAATGACCGAAATTAAGCTGAAAATTTCTATCCTGGTGTGGATCAAAATTAATGTGAGAGGAAGAAAAACACCTTCAGTTGATAGGGATCCCACCTAATTCCTGGGGATATTTTTAGAGAACTAATGACAAGTGCAAGAAAGGTGTTGAATTCAGTTTGAATAACTAAATGTACCGACAGCTAGATGGTGTTACGATGGGTAGACCTTTAGGTGCGGCACTAGCCAACATCTGCATCGGCTTTCACGAAAACAGATTATTTGACCAAATCCAAAAACCATTGGTCTATTTTCGGTATATCGACGAAACTAGTGTCATAGTTAGCTCAAAGCATGAATGTGACTGTTTCCACTGAAATTAATTTGTTACACCAAATGATATGTTTTATCAATCGGTGCATCCAAAGAACAGTGTACACACAAAGCTCTTTACAAGAAAACAGGTGTTAACCTTAAATAACGATTATGATCAAGCTAACACAAATTGCAGAAATGTATCCTTTATCCAACTGTCATAACACCAAAAAGGAAGAATTTTTAAAAGAACATATTGTGAATAGCTAATTAGAATGTCAAAATAGTAAATGTTGATAGTGTAAGTTTTACTGTCTCAGTTCACGGTAACCGTTTTACGAAAACATCAGTTTCATCTCAGAGAATGTCACTTTACCATATTCGTTTTTAATCGTTTTCCAGGACATATAATCTGCGAGTTCCCCACCACTATCAGAGGAGGGATGAAGGCCATTTAGATTTGACACATGGCAAGCACTGTACCACCAAGCCCCTTTAAATCTTGATGCACAATTGATGGAATAAGTATCTTGATCCTTGTCCTTCGTTGTGAATTTCATGCCGTTTTGGAAACTCAAAGAATCACCAGCATCTCCAGAGTAGCCTCCCACCTTCAGACGATACCCATCTGCTGCTCCTGAAATCTCAAACAAGCTGTACTTAGCATATTTCATGTCCTCGAATTCCATGTGTTTTAAGTCAACACGAAGAATCGTCTCCTTTCCTGGAGCCGCTAGCTTGTGCAGTTTTTCAAGCCCCAACCAGAAGTTTCCGTCCATATCCCCAAAGCCTTGCTTGTAGGCATCCCAGTCTCGAAAAAAATCCACACTGTTATCAACACGACGCTGGAACACAATCCAACCTCCTCCGTCGGTTGCCATGTCGCATCTGACTGGGAAAATTCCAATTTCTGGTCGATAGATGTCATATCTCGTACTTTTTCTGAAGCCAAGGTCGTAAAGATCCTTGCAACTTCTTGCTTCTGTTAAACGAACAGGAAATTATTATGTTTGTTCGATTGAAACCTTTTCTGGTCTATCGGAAGTGAGGAGAGTTTTAAAAGATCTTTCTTCAGTAATTACAATTACAGTTGAAGACCTTGCTTTGAAACATACCATGATATGCCAAGCAATAGCAGCATTCGAATTGTGATTAAAGGGTAAAGTACTTAGAATAAATCACATAACAACAATCAGTTGGTGTTTTCACGCAACAAATCAGCTTTGTTTTATAAAGTCTGCCTTGTGACGCACTTTTGTGGTCGTCTTATGGCAGGGAGAGGTCGTCCTAATCTCTACAGTGTGTACCATGCCTTTGCACTTTCAGATACTGCAGACCAGACTAGCATGACTGGCCATAATTGAAATAAAAGATAAGCTGTAATTAAACCCCACCCACTTCAAACAAATCCGAGTTTTATACTCAAATAAGCGATACTCGAATCCTGGCGTAGCATAACCTCAACGAAACGATCGGTATACACGTATCACTTAACCAAATAATCTAACTTCTTTATCAATAACCCAATATAAGAAAAATCAAATGTTCCACCGAAAATGGCTAAGAAATTGGCCACAATGGATTGGAAACACATTATTATAATTTCAAAACAAGAAATACCTGTTGTTACGTTTTGGCATTGGAATCCTGGACAGCTACAGGAATCTGTACACCTGTGTCCGATAGGGCAAGGATTCCTGCCTCGACACAATTCACCCACCTTGTGAAAAAAAGCTCTATCAAATACTGGCCTATACAAGTCAGCCTCGATAAATGCGTGCAACACCAGCTATATTACTGGTAAAAAATTGAGAAGATAAATTTGATCGCTGCGTAAAAAAGCATCAAGAACACTGGTCAGCTTTAATTCATGCTTGCGAAACCATTTGCTTCATTGGTGAGACTTGGCAAAGCGAAAAAGGCGGCATCAAGAAATTAGACACTGCAAACACAACGAGAAAGCTCATGGTGTAACTATAAAGGACAAAAACATCAATGAAGAGCACTTCACATTATTAGTCTTACAAGCACCCTAGATGAATGAGCAAAGCATAATTCACTCTTGCTTGACAAGCTGCTAAAAGTGGTGTACATGTTTCTATGGTAGCTTGAATACGAGAGTAAACTGTAGTAACTTACGTTTCTGTTTCTATAATCTGTTGTTTTGTAGGTCCATTCAGATGAAGGAGATAACTTTACGTTGTCATCCGAGTTTTCTGTTGATTTTTCATTGATCTGGCAATTAGCAGACCCAGATGTTGGCGTCTTCCAGTTAATTGAGCTGCAGCTCTGATGATACAAGCAATGCTGTTCGCATAAGTCGACAGTCGATACTTCCAATGATGCTAACACATGTCCAGTAAGCATAAACCCTAGTTTTTCAACGCTGAAGTTTCCATGCGTCTTGCAAGGCAGCCTCAGAATGTACCCCAGGCTCACATGCAACCAAAGCAGCAGCAGAAATCTGTTCAAGTACGTGTAAATTATTCAATTACAAAACCACAAAGATAGGCACGGTGTCAATATAGAGAGGAAGGAGAACATGTTTTGAAGAAGGCAAGGAGCGAAGAGGGCTAGCTTGTTCAAAGTTTTTTCCTTTTCTGTGAAGGCACTTTGTATTCGTTTAGACAGTGGTGTTGTTTTAAAGACGTGAAATCTGAAACGAATACTTCGATGGTTGTAGAGGTCTGGAAATGGACGGTCTGTAGACCTGCGGAGGTCTGTAGCATCTTGAGCCACGCGCTAGTAGAATTAATGGCTTTAGACGTCAGTGCCATTACGCTACCTCACTGTATCATTGCTTACCTCACTGTTGGCACTATGTACACGCCTCACTTTATCACTGTTTAATAGTCGTTATTTAAAAGATCCCATCATTCCCTAAATGCTTATATACAGACAACTTACATGAGACGCAGAATGGAAGCCATACTTATCCAGTCTTGATCTTGGAAAGGGGTGCTTCTTCCTCAGTCAATTTATGGCGTCAATTCTTCAGTTTTCAGACTCTCTTCTGAATCTATTTTCACAAGGAGCGAGCAACTTAAAACTAGCCTGTAAACATGATTTTCTGAATATATAGCTGTAATTGCTGGTGCCAAACACAAGCAGTTAAACTAAGATTCGGTCAATTCAATGGATTCCCCTTTGCTAAGCAGTTGGAGTTGACCAGAGCATTTGCAAATAATAATAAATCCATCGACTACCCAGCCGGCCTAGTTTATCATATTCATGTTTCAATCCGGGAGCTAATAGTGGTTGTTGAAATCATGGCAAGATCCTGATTCAACCTTGTCACCCGAGGTGCAAATCACTTCTAGAAATCTCGTACACCTTTCATGAAAATCCTATTGTTTTATCTGAAAATCCCCAGAAATCCTTTTGTTTTAGAGAAAATCTCGTACGCTATTTGCAAGAGTGCATTGCCCCTCGTTGTCACACACTGTTACAAACATAAATTTTGCAAAATGTTAAGGACTGACGAGCCTCGCAAATCAAAACATTTGCGATAACAAGTTCTTAAGAAACAAAGAACTTAAACGGGCGCCAAACTATCGCATGCCATTTGTATCAAAAGGTATTTTAAAAACTGATAATTGTTTTGAAAAAGTTGGAACTGGTTTTAAATGCTGGAAGTGGCTTTATAATGCTGGAAATGAATTTTAATATTTTAGAAGTCTTTGATTTAAACCATTTCGACCATTTTAAAACTGTTTCCAGCATTTTAAAACCATTTCCAAGATTTTAAAACCATTTCCAACATTTTAAACCATTTCCACTTTTTGAATTACCTACCGAAGTGCTGAAAATTATGCTGGTTTAAAAAATGCAGGGTAAGTTTTAACAAGCCTCAAAACATAACATATGTAACATGACATAACATAACATTTTGTCTAGTAACTTCTAAAGCCGCATTTACACGAGCAATTTTTCCTTGGCAATTTTCCTTGACAAGTTTCTTTGCCCGTTTAGATTATAGACAAGTTTTGTTTGACAATTTCTACACATTTCGTGTAGAAAGATAAGAAATCTCTTTGACAATATCTATTTGCGTTATGGCAAGCGGAGTTTATGGGTTAGAGCAGGGGTCGGCAACCTTTATAAAACAGGGGGCCAAATTTGATTTTTGAAATGCATACGAGGGCCGCAACTCAAAATACAGTATAATTTTAATACATACCAATTCTACCTAACTACTAATCTAATCAATAAAAATGTATTTATCGGAAAATGTTTTGTAACGTGGAAGCTGTACGCAAATACCAACATAGATGTTAAGTACATGTTCACTGTTCAGTGTATTAAAAGAAGCTAATGGGCAACTTGGTGCTGCACGTCCTTGGCCAACTTCTCAATATTTGGCAGAATGGTTGATGTTGGCAGCCGCAAGTTGCCTTCAAGGTGCTGATCAGTCATGCGAGATCGCAGTCGACTCTTCGCATGCTTCATCTTTGAGAAGAGACTTTCGCAAAGGAAAGAAGTACTTCCAAACATGCAACACATCTTCTTGGCATGCTGCACCAGACCTTGATATGAACCATCATCCACCATGGAGATACTCCATATAAAACGGGATTATCTGAGTTTCCTTGTATTTCTGTTTCAATTCACTGGTACCCTGCAGCTCGATCAACTCCATTTGAAGATGGAAAGTGAACCAAGTTCCATTGATTCAGCTGAGTTTTCCAAAGATGTATCATAAGCAGGAACATGACATGTTCATACATGACATTCACATAATGACAATGGCCTTGAAGCTTCTTCTTCAGCTTGTTCGAGTGACTAGTAATGTTAACGAGGAATGCTTATCTAGGCAAGGATCTAAGATCACTGAATCAATATCGAGCTGACACTCGTGCATTGGGCCACATTATTTACAGGTTAACAGGGGCCTTCCGGGCCACACAAAAGTACCTTGCGGGCCGCGGGTTGCCGACCCCTGGGTTAGAGAACTTTTATGTGTTATGGCAAGCGGAGTTCCTTTAACAAAGAAAAAACTTTTATTCTGTGTGGGACAGCTGCAGCACTACTAATGTACTATAAATCTAAGAAAAGAAGACAGCACAAGTTGTGGGTTCAGCCTTGGGCGAGCCATCGTCGCAGGCAGATCAAAGGATTAGCAGGAAACTTGATTGGAGAAATGAGGCTCAAAGACCCAGGCAGTTTTCAGAATTTTTTCCAATAAGTCCAACGGTTAAAATTTTGCGTTTGGAGTCTTCGAAAATTTCATTGGAAATCTTAGAAAGCAATAGTATTTCATTGGTGTACATATTTTTTTAACTATCTGCCTTTGTATTCCGACGGCTTTTGCGGCTTTGCAGAACTTCCACGAGCATTGACGTTCCTTGATTGGTCCAGATCAACCTCGTGGCGGCCATGACAGCCAAAAACAAGCAATTACTTGCGCGGAAAGAAGGGTCTGGAATTGAGTCAAACTCATCAAGTTTACTTGTCAAGTCATCTACACGGGCAAGTTTTGCATATGACAATTTTCTACCTGTCAAGTGCACTTGCTAAAAACTGGCACGCCAGCCTTTGAATAAGTACACTTGTTAAGTAAAAAATTATCATTTTTCCTTAATCTACCCCAATCTACACGAGCAAAATAAACTTCTCAAAGAAAATTTGTCAAGGAGAACTTGCTCGTGTAAATGCGGCTTAAGAAAGTTTGAGTACGTACTGAAACCCTAGGATCGTTAAGAAAGTTTGATTTCTGAGCTCATTGCGAATTTTTCTACTAAAAGGAACGTGTGTGAAATTGCATGCATAAAATGTAGATATCGCATGTTTAAAATTTAGCATTACTGTCGTCTCCCAATGACAGAAGTTGATCCGATTCCTTTGAACTCTTGTCTCTTACTTTGATTGTATCTTAACGATGTTAAGTCAAGTTACAATGTAGCTGGTATCATAATTCAATATAGCATGTTAAATATGACCAATATCCAGATTGTTAGAGGGGTGGTGGGAGTTTTTCGAATATTCGAATCCGTGAAACAAAGATTAATAAATGGAGTTGGTATTTCTGTCACTTTACCTGTTCATTGAAAAGACAGGGATGCAATATAAAAATTACGGAGAGTTATCAAGAAATATTTCAGTACAATCATACTATTACACAATTTTAGGACGTTTTGCATAAATAACCATAGAACATTAAAATTGCTATTTCTTCTTAGGCTGTGAACTTTATATCGATTTCCCGTTGTTACCACCAAACGTAAAGATTGATAAATTTGCCAAGTGATAAGCATCTTTCTGATAAAGTTTGATATCATAATATCATTTTCAGGGTTTTTAAATCTGTTTGATCTGAAATAAAATCATGAAATACCTGCTGAAGCTGACTAGGATCTGACCATATAAAGTCACTGTAATTCCGTCTACAATCCTGGAAACAATTGTTAAGACAAAATGCAATTTTTGCAATTTCCTACTTTACCCCTCTCCTTTTCTCCCGAATCAATGTTGATTTCTAGTTCTATCATTTGTGCTTCAAAATCATGCATTCAACATTGAATCGGGGGAAGAGAAATAATTATTCTTGAAAGAAAAGAGAAAGGATAAAATTATCTTGAAAAGTGCCAATTATTGTCTGTAGGTTCTGAGATCTACAAACCAGGCAAAGACAACAGCCATCCTACAACAATATTTAAAATTTTTACTGGTCAGATCCCAGTCCGGCCAGATTCATGGATTTAAAAATGGATTTTACTGATCCTGCACACTCCAAGATATTTCATGATATCTGGCTACTTTGTCGAAATCGTAGAATTTTAAAAACAGATATTATGACGTCAACACTTAGCAACTATTTACTTTTACCCTGGTAAAAGTGATTAAGGTTCCTTTCATTTTTAGATCAAGGTTCCTTTCGTTTTAAAGGTCCACAGCACTGCAGTTTGTTAAATACTTCATTAGATACACCAGTAACCACACAAAATCCAAAAGAAGATAAAAAATATATGTGATGATTATTGTAGCATGTTTTATATTAGAGAATCCTAAACATTTGAGGAAACTTGTTCTTAAAGTAAAACATGACAGGCTATGGACAGCTTATCAGCAACTATCCAAAGCAATGAAATTTTCGTCATTATGTATCTGCAAATTACAGTCAAATAATCAAAAATAATTTTACAGCTAAAAATAAAATGATTGAAAAATAAGCTATGAAATAATTAATACTTCTAAACCCACACAATACCCAATAATTCTAAGAAATAAATAAAAAAGTTTGGAATAATGCTATGCTTTTGTCAACAAAAACGGCCTATACAAGTCTTTGAATAGTTATGAACGATACAATTCGCTTTTCCGTTGTTAACCACATAACGGCACACAGTAAATGTATCACCTAAAGGTATCACAAGAAAGAAAAAACATCCCTATTTAACGGTCAATGAAAGCAGACGTATGATACGCAAATAATCATCTATCTACTACAGTAAAATCCCGATAAATCGAAACCCCGCTAACTCGAAAATTCGCTAAGTCGAACGAGTATTGCATTTCCCTTGCCAAATACTTTCATATGCCCCCTCCCCCCCCCGATAACGCGAGTATTCGCTATCTTGAACCATTTCATTGGTCCTTTGGAGGTTCGAGTAATCGTGAGTTTACTGTATAAGATTTGGAAAGTTCATAGCCTTGAAACCTGCACATAAAGCCAATTCGAGCCTAATTCTAGAAAAAACCTACAGAAAAAAGGTATTTTAGGCCATCTACATAAGCATCTCGCGTAACATGATTTTTAGGAAAGGCTTTCAAAACGCTAAATGATTTAAAGAAAGCAATGAAAATTTTTTACCGCAATATAAAAATACCAGACGTGCACAGCATGTAACTATGAGTTCTCCAAATACAACGAGTTACAATGCAAAAGACATAGAAAGATGTATCAAAATCCCGATGAAATGACAAACCACAAATTCAAACTCTTTTCTCATTCTTTCCACATTCAACGTCATTCTTAGATGGTTGAACTCTGTTTTTCATTCAACTAATGACACGCATACCAAACGAAAACTAGAAATCTTTGGTTGGATGTTGTGAATCTGGTAAGACATTTGTTCACTTGAATGGAGATGCATTTTACCAATGCTTGTATATGATATCGGCCAGTGTTAGCAATTGTGGAGGGACGTTCATTGATTTGTGCTTGGAATCAAACACATGATCTGCAACACTCAAACCAAGTTATGTTCTAAAGATATCGCAGCCAATTCTTTTAACCATTCTTCGAGCAAAATGGCACAATATATAGCATTTTTTATTGCAGTTGGGTTTTTTCTTCGCAAATAAGCTGCTTCATTTCGCAAAGTCTGTTCTGAGATGCGCTTTTGTGGACTTCTTATGGCAGGGTGAAGCCGGCCTATTCTTGCGCCTGAGACAGTTTTGGCCAGGGAAGCTTCAGTGTACAGAGTATCTTTGCGCTGTGCAAATTGCGGCCCAGACCCAGTCTGGTTTACCGTATTAACCGTATTTAAAACGATTTGTGCTTGATCAGGAAGACTGGCTTGATCGTCGGAACTCCCGCCGTCCCGCGATTCCATTGAGAGACTGGAAACTATTGAATCCTTTCTGCCAGGTTCAGCACTGAATCCAAAATACCTTTTCTCTCGCTTGATCAAGTTCTGTTGCGCTCGAAGCAGCAGTATTTTAAAGTCGTCAAGTTGAGACACAAAGATGTCAGTGGTTTGAGCAACGTTAGTAATAATCTGCAAAATGGGTAACATGTCTCTTAAAAAAATACACATATACTCTAGCAAAAGTTGCGAATCATTCTTCGCCCAAACCTAAGCGAAGGTTCTGAATGACGTATTCTCGACTCTACATAAAGTGGATGGCATGAAATTTGATTTTGAATCATATAATCTAAAAGAACATTGTAAGATAGTCCTGCATGGAAAAAACAGATGAATTTATCCACCATTAACTGAGACAGTGCCGTAACTACTATTGCTCTTTGAGATGGGGAGGGGGGGAACCAATTGCTCCTTGTGAGCAGTTAACCCATTAGACATTTTTCGTTTGTTATTCTCGTCAACAAACATGCGGGCTTTGTCTGAAAAACGCTAGGTCTTTCCCTGGGCCCAAAGTTTGGCAGAGAAACTGTGTATCGTTTGGGATTCTTTTCACTTACAACATGAAGACTTACGAATCCAAATTTCCAAGAACCAATGAGCTAACACATGGTTATAGAATCGAAAATAAACAAGACAGCTTGGAAATTTCATGCCAGGTTAATTATACATGTGCCTTAGCCGAGAAAAATCCTGAGCTGCTGCAAATCTAGAGTAGTATGCTTGAACTGCCAACTTGGTATCTGGTTTCTAATAAAATTAGACCCTTCGCTTAATTCAATGCATAATTTATGAAATAGAGTTACCTGAAACAAAGATTTGACCCCAGGCTGCATAACCAAGTTTGAATTGAGGAGCAATGATCGCAAAAGTGGTTGTGGATAACATGCAATTCTTGATATCAGTGAAGTCAGTTGTAGATTCACATAGAAAGAATTGTCCATCATATTTTCTAATTCTTCATATAGGGCACTCATAAAAGGGCCTAGGCATTCTTTGGAATCGATAATTTCGACAGTTTGCTTTGAATCTCGAAAACCATTCAAAACTGTAGATTTTGACCCTCCGGCTGCTTTAGCTGGTTGAAGCGATTTCGATTTTGTAAGGGAGCGCTTTTCGTTGTCAGGATTCGAAATACTAGAATTTCGACGTAACGCAAAAGAAAAAACATCCGAGTTACTTCTGTCGGTTTTCGATTCACTCATCAATGTGGATGAGCCACTTTTACGAGGCAGTTCGGTCATAACATCCATCCCGTCGTACACTGCCGACCAACAGCGACAGGCCTCTTTACACTCCCTCACCCTGACCCTTGCATCGCATAGGCATTCAATAAAAGAACTCTGTAAAAACAACCGCGACGACTTCGATCCATGTGTACCATGGCCACAAACCTGTCCTTCATCTTCCAGCTCGTCAGTTTCCAATCCCTCTTTGCTTTCACCAAATTGCGACTCGACACAACAAGAAGGTGTCAAATATAGGAACATTGTAGCACTTTTACAATAAAAATCTAACTCTTTTATTGTCCGTTTCTGATTCGGCAGAACATGCTTGCAGGGGATCAAATATCTGAAACGAATAGCAAAAGCTCAATTATTGCAGCAAGTCTCGCGTTACGCTCTTTTTTTATAAAACCATAATATTGCAAGTGATATAATTTTTGCCGAGCCTCGATATTCTTGACTTTTGGAAAATTTTAGGCTCAAATGTTCTTAAAAGTCTTCTTATTTTAAGAGTGTTTTAAGAGAGGTATATATGTTGTAAATTGCATAGCAATTTGCCACTTGGAATATTGACATGGCAAGTTCCACCCGTAATGTACCTATACAAATTTACCTTCTCTTTCCCTCAATAAAAGAAACTTGTCTAAATCTACGTGATTAGAGGTGAGATATTTACATAAATGATAGTAGATACTGAATGATACTAAAACTTTAGCAGCAGCATACTGCTTGAAGTTTATGTCATTACATTATACTATAAGTCATACCAGGGGGTAAGAAAGATTACTGTATGGTATCTAACTCTCCAGCTATAAATAGCTTGCAGTATAACAACTGACCCTATCAAAATTCAGAATTCACAAGAATATATGATTTCCATGAGTATCAGGAGAAAAAAAACCTTAAAAAATATGCAAAAGCGGCTAGTTTGAAATTGCATACATACCGGATAATGAGATGATAAATAACATCTTCACAGTTTAAATCCATTAGGGTCTTGAATAACTGAAGTGTTACCATGTTTAGCTGTGTAAAGAAAAACTATATATTATAATAACTAGAAATACTGTAAATCAATGAAGTTTTAAAGATCAACTTCACAGTACATGCAATGCATCACTATTTTCTAATTTAAGAACAACACAAATATACTTTTCATTCAGATTAATCTCATAATTATCCTGCTCAGCATTAAATGTCTCGCTCAGCAATAAACGATTCTATTTGTATTGATTTAACTCTGGCATATGGTTGCACCACTGGCTCTAAACTCTATGACACTTACTAATGAAACCTGAGATCTTGTCCTTCTGTGGTTATATAAGATAAAATCATAAATAAATTATATTGCAAAGTTACAATTGCATGCATGTTTTACAGTCAAAAGATCTGTAGCCATGGTGAGAACCTACCCAAAACCATATTTACATTGGTTGCTTAGCAAGTCAAAAAATATGTTTCACAAATCATGGCTCAATCCTACCTCAAATAGCCACCCTACTTCAGGCTGTAGCAAAGGACAAGTGTTCTATATGACTAGCACTTACGTGTGGATCTATGACATTAGCACCCTTAACTGTACATGTTTTTAACAATGCATTCCCAGTAACTCACAGTATCTTATGATATTCCAAATGATTCTGAAAGCCTCACTTTGATAAAATTTGCAAAATAATTCAGTCCAGAATGAAGTACACTATTCTTCATCTGCCTAAAGTAAAAAATGTTGATGCAAAATAGCAGGTTGTTTCTGAATATTCCTTCGCTAGACTGGATATGCCTTGTTGGCTAAAAATATTTAACATTGTGGATTCAGAAAGAATAGCATACTCACCTGAGTATTTTTTGACTGGATGCGTTCAATCATTGTATCAATAATTTGAGTACCATCATATTCATCAGTCAGAAGGAACCGTAGTAATGTCCTCATGAAACTTTTTTCACTTATTTCTCTGATAAACAATTCCAAGTAGGCTGTAGCTGCTGTTATTGCCTCAGTAAAATGCTAAAGAAAAAAATATACATATTGCTGATTGACTATAAAAACTTATGTATACCTCAAAACCTAAGGCAACAAGCTTTGAGGTATACCACATAGAAGCTGACAAAAAATATTATTATCCAAAACCCAAAATGACGTTTAGAAATAACAATGATTTAGTTAGGTATTTGAGACAATCAAATTGTATTCTTCTATGATGCTATTGATGTGGCTTTGAGTCTCAGAAGCGCCTTCCTTCTTAATAAGAAAACAATAATATAATCTATTGGTTACCTGGTGTAAAGCTGCAGCCAAAACTGAATTTAGGAAACCTGAATGAATAAAACCCAGAAGTCTTTCTCCAAATGTTTTGTGACCAAACTGTAGAAAAAATAAAATCATAATTTAAAGAAATTTGAAAAAATCTGATTCTGTTGAATGTATGTTGGAAAATTTTTTATTGCCAAAACAATCATTGAGATGGGCATGATAATTATTTAAGGGTATACATAAATCATTATAAAAGAGTTTTATGAGTAAAGCAGCATAAAAAATCAAAAGGCATATATCACATCTAGTTTCATCATTTCACACATGACATAAAGAAATCTGCCATCATATTTTGTAAATTATACTGTAATATAATAGAATGTTTTCATTTACATGAATTGCTTCACAGCAAAATTTCACAGCTTTGGTAAATCTTTGAATTTCTTGGTTGCCAGCAACCATATCTCTACTAATGCAATACCAGTCATCATTAGTTATGTCAAGAACAGTGGGCAAAGCTGCATAGTGCCCACTTAGTCCAGCAGCCAAGATCTAAAAGAATTGAAAAGTGATGTTCTATTACCAATTTTCAATCAATCAAAATATAAAAAATATAACGAAATTCCTTCAAACAAAAAAAATTAAACTATAATGTAATGTTCATGCTTAATGTGATCATAATGCAACTAAAATGTTAATGGAATTATTATAATAAAACATCAGTCCCAACCTTTAACTACATCTATGAAGATAATTTTTCACCATCAATAATGTATTAGCAAAGTCAGGGCAATCATGAATAAATTTTCACCCAAGAGGGGTGCCTGATACTAAATTTATTAACAATATAGGCATTTCATGTATTTGTAGACATGACCTTTGAATTTAATTATCAGTATGTCTCAGAACTTTTGAAGAATAATTATCAGAAGAATATTTAGTTGGTCTCAGAACTTTTAGAGAAAAACAGTCCTTTTAAACTCTGCCTAACTATTTCACCAGTGTTTTCAAATCATACTTTTCATGTATTTGGTTACAATATACTGTTTTTATATAAGAACCAGAAAATATAGGCAGAGGCTTGATGTTCTTTTTTTAGATAATTTGTGGCTTGAGGGTTGTAAACATTTTGCCTCATTTAAAATTTGAATTTTCTACATATAGACTTTATATAAATTGTTTCAAAGGTCACTAAATAAGGGCTTTGCAAAACATTTGTACATCTCAATTGACTAGCTAGCTAAAAAATAGGTTCTGTTTGCTACATGAACAGCAAATTTCAAAAAAACATTTTTTTCTTCTTCTCATTTTTCATCTGGTCATGTTCCTATGTTGTTCTTATAAAGCGTGTACTTATAAATAAAAACAAGTATAGATATAGAAATGGCAAATATGATATAGAAATAGCTTACATTGCAACAGTCTGATTCATATGTAATGTAATTTCTGAAGCTCTCGTTGGAGGCAGAGACTTGCAAACATATTACCAGGCTATCTCTTGCATAGTTACCCATCTGATTGTTATCATAGATGTAAGAGATTAGGATGTTTAAAAATCCATATCTGGGTATCTTGTAGCCATGTTTGGAGAGCTGGCTAGTGTCAAATTTATTTAGAAATTGATCATCAACAAGTCTCAGACACACATTGTTAATGAGTTGAATGTACTTGTACTCCATCTCAAAAGGCATCTTCTTTCTGTCATTTGGTCTGAGTGCAAGCAAAAGCAGCATTAATGGTTCAACAACCTCTCTTATCCTTATTAATGTGTCACTTCCAACAGACAATATATTGTCAAAAATTGATAACAGTTCCAGTGTCATAGCCTTCATAAGTTCTTTATCGGAAGCTATCCAGTTGAAAACCTGGCTGATAATGTCATGTTCTGAAAAGACCTTAATACTTTCATCATGGGTGTCCTTCCATGTGCTTTCTAAAAGGATTGTTACTAGTTCTGTAAGCTTGACAGACACAATCTTGGCTTTGTGCTCTGCACCTTCTTTAATTATATCTCTTCCATACAAAATATCTTCTATGTTTCCAATGAGCTGTGAAACACCATTGCGTGTGTTTTCTTTCGAATATTTGAGATCCTCCTCCATATCTAAATTTGTCAGCACGTAATTTCAATGAGCTGATGTTTCAGGTTTGCAAATCTATGAGAACTCCATGAAAAAAATGCCAAGTGACGAAATTTAATAGCATGTGAACAAGGTTATATTAAAAATGAAGATTCTCAATAAATGAAAATCGAAAGAATAGTGGAATCAAGCTTCCCTTAGAACCCGTCCTCTTTGATGCAAATATTCATTATTTGACAAACTGCCAGCATGAAATGCTACTCAGCGTCCGCAGTTGGCCGCCAAACGTGATTGTTGGTCGACGTACACACACAAGGGATCTACAACAACAGGCCTAACTCGCAAAAAGAAAACATCTTCTGCATGCTGTTAAATCATGCCAAATACAGATTTGCATTTCAGATGATGGCATACATGCAAAAGTATTCGCTTTTATCCGTGAAATCCAGCACAGGAGCTTCGTGAAATCATGCTAAAATGACGATTTCACTATTTGTGATCAATCGTATCCATATTTGATCAGCAGCAAAGTGATTCAAACAAACGAATGATTTGAGGTACTTCATGCTGCGTGAGCACGAACAGAGAAAGTAGGCGGTAACAAATAAAGCCACATACTTTTTTTCCTCGAAAGAGCACCCGGGGCGCTCATTTAAAAGTCCGCCTTTGAGGGGAGGGGCTCTTTCGAGGGGGGCTCTTTCGAGGGGGGCGCTTTTTCGAGGGGGCGCTCAATTACAAATCTGCCTTATTGGGGGCGGTCATATCATTTCGTAAACATACAGACCAAATCTTTTCCTATAGTTGTGAGTAGACACATAAACGCAACATGAAGAAATAATCAAAAAAACCATATGAAAATAAAAAGGCTACAATGCAAAATAAAGGCAAGTTTTACAATACAATATGGAGGTGAGGATATGATTATAGCATATCATAATGATGAGCCAAATTATGAAATCAAGAATTACGTCAAAAGGACAGACAGATGTAAAATATAACCACTAAGGTAGTCGTGGGTAAGGCCGGGCGCTGGGCAATCACGGACAAATCTACTTTGGAATATTTTACCTATTCCTACCCATATTCCTACCTACCCTATGCATAGTATTCCTACCTACCCTATGCAGAGAGAAAGGGAAACATCTATCCAATAAACAAGCCATATACGACAAAACAGATCGAAAACATAATTGGGAAATTGGGAAGATAAAGGAGCTCCGACACAAGTTGGCAAGTAGAGGGCCAAGGGCAATTTAAAAACCCATAACAAAAAATTTTTTAAAAAAGCTTTATTGTTTTGCAAACAATTTTTTGGTGGTCATGTCCTCACCCTTATTCTTTTTTCATTGTCAAACCTTTTCCATTGTTAAACATTGGTTCACTCAGACAGATTTAACAAGTGGGACCTCCAGGGGCGATTTCATAATCAAGGGTGTGGTTTCTTACAATCACGCCCATCTGTTACAGGTTCAAAAAACATATCCAATGCTAAGCCAAAGCATTTTACAACAGTTTCTCCTAGAGCTATGCAGCTTTAGAAGACCATGGATAACACAATCTACCAATGTAGCATTATTGCCTCTAAGAAAAAGACACTATTCAAAAAGACAATATTCAAATAACGCATATCTAAACCTTTTAAAGGCAAGAAGAGGGTTTTGAAAGCAAGATCGATGCAAAATTGTTGAAGGGGACTAAGCTGCTCCCCCCTCCTTTAAGTCAAGAAAAATGTAACAAGGGGCCTTGCGCATCTGCCCTAAGTGTGTAAAGAAAGTAAAGAAATATGTAAAGAAAGCAAGTATGTAAAGAAATATAAAAAAATTACAGAAAAAGCTTTTCATTGGAAAAATTGAAAATATAGAAAAATAGTCTATACTGGGGAGTATAATGGGAGTAGAATTCGTCCTATTAATCAAATGATGCGTTATAAGAAAATGTTTGCAATCACTGGTTCGTAACAGCAAACAACTCAAAAATAGCAAAACCAATACTTCTTAGTTCTTACTCAAGCAAATAGTGGCATGCTAATAGCTCGCATAAAATACTTGAAAAAATTGCATGTAAGAGATAGAAATTAAAACAACGTCAAAGAAATCCAAATCGCGAAAAGAAAAATATACAAGAAGATTAGGAAGTCGCAAGGTGAAGGAAATCATATATGTCACGTGATTGGTGACATCCAATTCAACGCATCGAAAGAAGGAAAAGGGAGAAGTCGAGACACGACTTGAGGATGGACATTTAACGCTCGTTATAAATTCGCTCATTGAATATGTTAGTTCAATATAAATTTCGCCATATCGTGGATTCCTTTCGCATGTAAATAAAATGAAACACTCGCTATATTTGTTCGCCTTTATCTTTTAATATATTTCTAAACAAGAACCAGAATCTTTCTAGAGTTTCGCCTCAATTCGAGAGACTAACGTTAACACAGCGCAGGATCATTTACTTGATCCTCCACACAAGGGATGAGATACCCTGGGTACCAGACTCTCTGTATCAAATAAGAGTCTGGTACCCAGGTTAGGGATGAGACATCAAAAAAAGGAATTCATAAAGGTTGATAAGAATGATAAAAGTAGGAGAAATGAGTATCTGAGTACATGCTAAATAACCATGTAACCAGATGACTTCAACATTGTTGTTTTAATTTTCACGCTTGGGATCGAGGATCGAGAAACTTGTCTCCAGACCTCTCCGTCACGAATATGGAGAAATTTCACATTTTGTGTGGCAAAATAGAAAAAATTTCGTGGCGATATTCCAGATAAGTATGA